GTCTTGTGGGGAGCGATCGTTTATGGTTGCTGGGCCCAAGTTGTGGAACTTGTTACCTTTATTTATTCGTGAGTCACCTTCTGTCACCATTTTCAAAGAACGACTTAAGACCCACTTATTCTCGTCCCTTTAATTTATTTTTTTTTTCTATTTCCATGCCAGCTAGCTTTTGCAGCTTTAACTAGGATAGGAGGCGCCCGAATCCGAGATGGCCGAGACTCAACAGGTGCTGACTGTAGGTCAATTAGATTGAACCCTAGCCAGCGATGAGGGCGTATCCCCATACTTCGGTTTGGGTGCTGGCATGGTATTCAAATTTCACTTCTTTTTATTTTGTGGTTTTGGTTTCCGTTCCATCTTTACACTTGCCTGATAGCGCTTAGAGACTTTTTGTCAGTTTTTATCAGTTATATAAACAGAAATCAAATCATCATCCACATCGTCATCATCACTATTATTATGTATATCTAGAAAGTAATTACATTTGAATTAGACATATGTATATGTATATATGTATGTATCAATTATTATATAAACAGAAATCAAATCATGTATATATGTGTATATATACATATATATATATATATATATATGTATAAATCAATTATATAAACAGAAATCAAATCATCATCCACATCGTCACCATCACTATTATTATGTATATCTAGAAAGTAATTGTTATTGTCGTGATGGAATAATAGACAATTACTGGATTTGCGTCAGGAGGAACATGTATTGAAATTTTTGTAATTGAAAAATTGTAATTTTGCCCTACCTGACGTGGAAATGTACCGTACCGAATACTTAGTACATTTGAACACAACTGCGAAAAAAATCGCAAGTTGTTCTCAGGTGGGACTCGAACCCACGATCTCCAGATCACTATCATACCTCTAGACCACCGAGCTTGCGCCTGATGGCCAGGGTTGAATTCGAGTCCAAGTAAGCAGAGCGGGTACTGCAGTGTGACGCAAATCAAGTTATTGTCTATTATTCCATCACGACATGTATTAATCACTTTCAACACTGCAGTACCCGCTGCTTACTTGGACTCGAATTCAACCCTGGCCATCAGGCGCATGCTCGGTGGTCTAGAGGTATGATGCCAGGCTAGTGATCTGCAGATCGTGGGTTCGATCAATTTGCGATTTTTTTCGCAGTTGTTTTCAAATGTAATGACTTAGTTAATTTACCGGTATATTTTCTATAGACCGCTCACCAATGCTTGTATTGGTGTATTAAGCAGAAAAGCATTCATTCCATTGCAATATGTCCATACTCGAGTGGAGTAACGTTATAATGCATATTCCAAGTATCAAAATGAACGCCATCGTGTAGGGATTCAGTATTTCGACATTAATTATGTCATCATCAGGAATGATCAAAAGTAATTACCAATAAATAATGACAAAGCTTTATAAATATTTTAATTAAAAATGATGGGATAAATCAAATATTTACAAAGTTTCATAAATATTTTAATTGAAAATTATAGGATAAATAAAATTCTTACTCTTGAAAATAAAGAGTTTCGAACAGATAGTTAGAGGGGTTTTATAAGATATAGATACACAAATTTGAAAATATCATAGAAATAAAATGTGATGATATACATGAAAGGTACATAGTAATAAAACATTTTATTAGAATTAACGCCGTATGATCTTTGACATTGTATTAAGATATGGGTAGTGGCTATCGGCACTGCCGCCGTGTCATTTTGGCACTGCCGTAGTGCCAAAAAAGCTCCTGTTTTCTATCGGCACTGCCGCAGTGCCATAAATGTGCCGTTTTCTATCGGCACTGCCGCAGTGCCAAAAAAAAAAAGCTCCTGTTTTTGATCGGCACTGCCGCAGTGCAAAAAAGCTCCTGTTTCTATCGGCACTGCCGCAGTGCCAAAAAAGCTTCTGTCTTCTATCGGCACTGCCGCAATGCGGGAAAAACTGCAGCTATCTATCGGCACTGCCGCAGTCTAAAATTTGCTGTAAAATCGAAATTGATGGTGAGATCGATCTTGGATCGATAGCTGGATACAGTATAATTGATTAGACATAGGATAGGGCCTAGCCTAGGCCTAGCATACTGGTTATCGAAAATCGTGTTTATTTAATTGTTCTTATTCTCAGTTGGATGACATCCCTTTCATGAGGCACACATAGAAAAAAAATATTGGATATCACTCTTTTTTTTTAATTGATAAGGGAGGGCGAGGTTTTTTTTTTTTTGTTTTTTTTTAATCGGAACAATTATAGATTACGCTTTTGTTTTTATCGATGAGGGAGGGACTGTTTTGGTCTATGTAATACTGTAGTAAATATTGTATAAAAACTGGTTTATTTTTTTTTTATATATATAGTTTTTTAAAGAAAATGTATTTGAAGTCACAGAATTGCATTTTTTATTCCTGCTCGGTCCCTTGATTTTTAAGGCCCATAACAAATTATTAGTTTAACACCTCTCTTCCTCATCACTTTTAGGGAAATTCTGAAATATTTTTATTTCAAACTGTCGTTTTTCCAACTTTTCCCACTAGAAAAGCTTAGGATTTCTTGCAAATATGTTTACTGGTAGCAAGAGCAACCATCATCATTTTCATCATCATCATCATTATTATCTTTAGTGTTATATTTGTATCATATCATAACATATTATTCTTTAAATATCGAACTTAGAAGCAAAGGCTTGCCTTGGTTGATCCAAAAATACTTCAGATATTGTATTTTTACGTATTAGTAGACTCCTAAATCGATTGAATAAGATTTTGAAACCCTTAATGTCATATTTTTCGTGTGTGTGCTTGTCAGTTAGTGAAAGTCATTCTTTCGCTCTTTGGCAATATTTCAGCTCTTTGTGAATAAAGTTGAACAAATATAGATATGTATATACTAAACTCTGTTAATATGACAGCAGCTTCAACGGATGTGCTTTGCAAAGTAATATCATTATCTGTATCATTTATTATATTAAAAACTGATTTTCTGAACTGACTAATTACTTAATTATAAAACAGACCCGTTACTGTGCTTTAAATGCTATAGGATAAAAGAACGGAATATTAAATATCAAGTTACAGCACATTAAAAAAATAATAATAATAAATATATTGTTTTTCTCCCTCTTTATTTTACAAATAATAATTTGACCTCCACATATTTTTACTTTAATATTTTCATCTAGTTTTAGGACACACCAGAAATTATAATATCGTGCTGATTATTTACAAGGAACGTAAGCTTTGAATTTAAATAAATGCATTGATTTAAGCCCTGTCCAAACTATCAAATTATTTTTATTAAAAAAAAACACGTGACATAATA